AGTCTCAGGGTCCTCCAGGCACTATCATGCCGGGGAGTCTGGCCATTTTTGAATTTGAGTTATTCTACATTTTTTCCCCATTCTGACTGGGACCTTCTATTGTGTCCCTGGTCAGAACAATTGGTAGTGGTAGCCAGACACCATTTAGTTCTTCTGGTCTCGAGGTTTTTTAGGCTGTGGTTTGTGAGGGCCGTTAGTCCCGTGGACTAATTGCTTCCTTGAGTCTTTGGTTTTCTCATCTTATTTGCTCCAGGAGGGAAGAGACAAATAGTTGTGTCTTAGATGGCCACTTTTAAGACCCCAGACACTACTCACCAAATTAGGTTGTAGAACATAATCTTTATGAACTATATTATGCTAATTGATCTAGATGTCCTCTGAGACTATGGTCCTCAGCCATCAAGCTCCAATAGCTCAGTCCTTCCAGGTGTTTGGTTATGACTAAGAAGTTGCCATACTTGTGCCCCCTATGTGCTCTATTACATATAGAACATACATGCAGCATGTACAAATATGTATGTAGAACAATCCACAGCCATACATAAATATGCACGTGAGTGTAGTCTTGTACGATCTCCCACACCTATTTAGCATGACATATCTGCTTATGTGTGCACTCACAAATTGTAACTATTGTTGCTGGATTGCACATTATAGTATTAACTGTAGTTGTCCTTTGTTTTTGCACATCTGTGTCTTCCTTTGCTTTAGTCACATTGTGCTAACTTCCCCAATAATGTGTACTGGCTTTCCCCTCACCATAACTGACACCTCTACTATCTAGTAGAGTAGTGCCTAAGGCACTTGACTGCTAACGAGAAGGCTTGCGGTTCCAACCCCCCAGCCACTCCTTGGAAGAAATGTTGGGCAATCTACTTCCATGATGATACTGCCTCGGAAACCCAAGGAGGGGTTGCTATGAGTCGGGTCCAACTCGATGGCACATAACAACAACACTATCTCGTTCTGGTGGTGCACTGGTTAAAACATTCGGCTGCTAACCAAAAGGTCAGTGGTTCAAACCCACCAGCCACTCCATGGGAGAAAGATGAGGCAGTCTGCTTCTGTAAAGATTTATAGCCTTGGATACCCTAAGAGACAGTTGACTCTGTCCTAAAGGGTTGCTATGAGTTGGAATCAACTTAATGGCAGTGGGCTTTTGGGGGGTTTACTTATCTAGTTAGTAAGAAGCTTTGGTGGCATAGTGATGAAGGCATTCGGCTGCTAACCAGGTCAGTGGTGATCTACTTCTGTAGATTTACAGCCTCGGAAACACAATGGGAGTCACTGAGTCAAAACTGATTTGATGGTAGTGAGTTTGGTTTGATCTAGTTAGTGACCCTCTCTCTCCCTCCCATCCCTAAACCAAAATACCATACCCACTGTCATTGAGTGGATTCTGACTCATAGTAACAACCTCCCCCCCCCCCCCCGTTTCCAAGGCTATAAATCTTTATGGAAGCAGACTGCCTCATCTTCTTCCGTAGAGTGGCTGGTAGGTTTGAACCATTGACCTTTTAGTTAGCAGCCAAATGCGACTACATATTTCTTTCTCTATGTAAACCTATGCTTGACTTTTTATAATAGTGGTCTCATATGATAGTTATTTTTTTGTGATTGACTTACTTCACTCAGCACAATGTCCTCCAGACTGTGAGAGGTTTCATCAAGTGTTTTTGCCAAAGACATCAATTGCTGTAGCTGAGCATCCAAACTTCAATGACTTTCTCTTTCTATACTGGCCACACTGTCCACCTGGCATACAGTTAAGTCTTCACTTTTATGTCTTCAGGTTCCCACTTTCTACTCTTCACCTGTTTTCCTGCCCTCATCTCTTCTTCAGCAAGAAGATGGTCATCTCTAATTCCTTGGCCTTTTTCTTCTAGGGTGTGGTCTCCCTCTTCTCTGGTTCTGCAATATTTTTTTATTTCTGAGAAACTCTTGCCTGTCACCACACCCCATTTGGGAAATCCAGTTGTAAGTGAATCCTTCTCATCTTCATCCAGAGAAAATTATCTTCAATTTGGGAAAAATGTTTCTGTTAGGGAAGAAATAATCAAAATAAAAATTCCTCCAGACTAGGAATCAGAAGACCTGGAACAGCTTGCCCTCAGAGCCTTCTAAAAAGCGGAGAAATTTGAGAGACTGTATTTCTTTCCTGGGGAAATAAAATGAGCTTGTTGAACAGAGCTCCAGAAGGAAACTTCCCAGCCAACAAGCCCCAAAGAGCAAAGGAAATGTATCTTCATTGGAAAGATGACCACTACAGTGCACTGCAGCTCTACACAAAGTCTCAATTGTCCTCTGGAGACGTGGCAGAGACATCATGAAAGAGACATTTAATTCAGAATGAACAGAGTGTTGAAATATCAACCCTTTGAAAGACACATTGCCCAGTATTGTTCCACTACAGATAGACAGAAATGTCATAGGCTCATTTAATTTGACAATGGTTTTTCCTGATTTGAGGATTATTTACTCGTGTGAAGAATCTTATAAAAGCATACAAATAAAACCAATTTTTTATTTCATAAATCATTTTTTATTGAAAGGAACAGAATTTGATGAATTTGGGATAGTCATCAGAAGTCAAGATGAACAGTTTCAGTGACATTAAAGCCCAAAGGGAAGTCCTTTGCTTCTGTAGTGAGATGTTAACAGGGCATCAAGTGTATCTGGCATGCAGACTGCGCAAACACAGGCTCTTCTTTGCATTCTAAACAGAATCATCGTTGGGAAACAGGACTCTGGCCTGAAACCAGAAACCTGGAGTCTTAATCTTGCAGAATACCAAATGGATAGCAAACTCTAGAAGAAAACAATTAACTTCCTATTTGCCTCAGCAGGGATTAAGAAAAAGATTGTGTCTATAAAATTATTGGAGCAACTCCTTAGTAGAAATATCACTTAATGCTTGTATTTTTATGCTTTAATTTTCTCAAAAGCACTTTGTTTACATATAGGCCTGTGAAGTACGCAAAGGAGGGATGATTATGATTATGATTATGCAAGGTCCCTTCCCTCAGGAAACTGACTTTCAGGAATTGGGATACAGTTAATGACCGAGATAATTCCAGATAGTAGTTAGGGCTGTGCTGACAATAAAAGGGTGTTAGAAGAGAGGGATTTAAGTGCTATTTCAGGAGGTCAGTAAACGCCACTCGGCGGAAGTGACACTGAAGCTGAGTCTTCAAGTCTTTCTGAGTAGCCTTTTCTCATTTTCTAAAATTGCCAAATGAAGATCTGGAAAGATGGCATTCCACAAAGAGCAAAAAGCAAATGGAAATAGGCCTGATTTGCTCTGGGGACAGATAAAAAAAGGTCAGTATGCTGGAGTATGATGAATAAGAGGAAGACTCAGGAGGAGGAAGACTAGGTGGGTCAGCTTGTGCAGAGTGACATAAGTCAACAACAACGTTTGAATTCTGAGGGCAGTGGGAAACCACTGCAAGGTTAAGAAGGAGTGTTACATGATCTAATTTATGCTTCTGAAAGATCAGATGGAACTTCCAGATAAAGATGACCAACTGACTACACAAGTTGAATTTTCTCCTTCTTGACTGCAATAGAACGACAATGTAGAAAGAGATATAAACTCATAAGGACAAAGACAAAGGGAAGAGAAGACAGTAGCAGCTGGGCATTCCAAGGGAGAGGATGACGGGAAGCTCCACGATTGGACCCTTCCAGAGTCTACCCCTTGTGTCTCTTCCTTTGGTGGTTTGCTTGTATCCTTTCCCTGTAATAAACATGACTGTGAGAATATAATGTTTCAGCAAGTTCTATGAGTCTTCTTAGCCAAGTTATCAAACCTGCAGCCAGCTAGTCTGGAGTGAGGGCAGCCCTGGGGGACTCCTGAGGTTGCGGTTGGAGTCTAAAGTGAGGGCAGCCTTGTGGGAACTGTTCCCTCTGACTCTGCAGCTTGGGACTCTTTGCACCCGTTCCCATCAGGTTATGGGAAGAATCCTACACAGCTCTGGGTGCACCGACTGATTGTGGTATAGCAATGGATTAATCGCCCTAAGCCTTTGCTCTTCATTACTGACCCCGCAATTTGAGCAGCATATAGAATAGGGGCTAAGAATAAGGGCTCTGGAGGCAGGTTACTGGGTTCAGAATCAAACTCTGTCCATTAGTTACCCTTATGCTACTTACTTTACCTTTGTACATTTGCTTCCTCACCTGTAAAATGGGAGCGATAATAGGATGTTTTTCTTAGGGCTGCTGAGAAGACTAAATGAAGTAATCCACAGAAGATACTTAGCAAGAACTTAATGAATGTTAGCAATTATTAGTACCATCACCATCTACATTTCCTAGGTATTTCAATAGGCACCCAACCTTAAAATCTGAATCTCCAGCCACAGTGATTTCTTCCCCCTCCACTCTCCTACAAGGTGTATTTATCTAGCACATAAACAATTCTTGTCTTACAGTGTATGGGTATTTCGTCTAGCAAACAGCATTGCATCCCCCTGGAAGGTAAGGACCAGGTCTAACACAGATCTAGTACTCATATATTTTGCCAGGTGTATCAGTCAGAATGATTTTATTTTCAAGTATTATATATACATTTGTAAGTACACACATAACGTATTTTATGTACATGGATTAGGTAGCTCTTCAAGGACAACATTCAGTCCCTTCTATAAGAGCAAAGTATGGAAAAAACAGATCAATATAGGAGATTAAAAGTATACATGGATTCACAGAATGGATACAGATTTTCATACTGAAGACAAGTTTTCTTGCCCTCTCCTACTTCTGACCACTTTCTCTCTTGGTGATCATTACAGGGCAAAAACGTTTAATTGAGGACAGCAAGTCAAAGTGTAGTTCTCAGGCTGCGACAGAGAGAAGGGGAGAGCAACAGACAGGCACCTTGGTAGTTGGCTTGAGTCCTGCTACAAGCCCTCAGCATCATCTTCTGCCACCCAGAGTGGATGCATCCTGGTCACGTAAAGTACGAGTGTCTGGCTGCCATCTTCTCTGCAGGGAACTCAATCCCCTTGCTTCACAAGAACATCAGAAAGATCCTCTGTTCCTTCCAGCTTCAGATTCTGAGGGAAGACCAAAATGTACGTCAACTTTGGTATACTAAAATAATCACAGACCAACTTCTAATCAAGGTAACAAGGTCGTGACTACAAAGAATGAGGCCTGTCCCATGATTACAGATAAAACTACACCAGCAAATATAATCTGTATAATAAAGTTGATTTCAAATCCTTGCTAACCACAGGGGGAGGGAAAAAAAAAAAAAAGCAAAAAGTAAGCCCCTTCTGGTTCCTATAATAATCTCTCAGTAAAAGGCCCCAGAACTTCTGTCTCGAAGAAGCTAAGGGTCCTGTTTACCACTAGCAACTACAACATGTATTTATCAAAAATAGCTTGAACTGAGGCTGCCAGTAGCTCTCCAGGCCCAGCAGACCTGTCCTCATACAGCACCTGGGACCCAAGCCCTCCTCCAGTCCCTCATCCTCGTTGCCCTGATACCTCATCCCTTTATAATGGCCACACCTGCTATCCTTGTTCTCCCATCTTTGCTCAGGCTTTTCCTCACATCCCAGCTCTCCCCTGACCCCACACATATCTACACTCCCATCCCATGAATTCTCTTCACCAATCCTAGGCACTGTTTGTCTCAGGACTAAGCCATTCTAAGAAGCCTTTCTCGCCTCACTTCACCACAAACCATCCACTTAGTTGCTTTGCACCAGACATAGATATGATGTGTTGGCAACTCTATGTCCACTCCACCCTTTTTCTAGCGCATCTTCCTATACTGCTAAAATGTTCCTGTTTGGGTCCTTTTCATTACTAACCACACCTGGCCTTTTCTACTTCTCAAAAAAAAAAAAAAAAAAAAAAAATCTCTTGATGCCAACTCATAGTGAATGCCCCCCATTGGGTTTCCAAGGCTGTAAATCTTTACGGAAGCAGATTGCTCCATCTTTCTTCCACAGAGTAGCTGGTGGGTTTGAATCACTGACTTTTTGGTTAGCAACCAAATGCCTTAACCACTATACCACCAAAGCTCCTTCACTTCTAGGTGCCTGGTTAATCCTTTTGGTTGAAAGATTGTATAAACCTCTATATTTGAGATACCCTATGAAGTAGGAGCTCTGGTAGCATAGTGCCTAAGGCACTTGACTGCTAAGCAGGAGGCTGGCGGTTCAAACCCACCAGCCACTTCTTGGAAGGAAGGTTGGGCAATCCTACTTCTGTAGTGATAACTGCCTCGGAAATCCAAGGAGGGGTCGCTAGGTGTCGGGGCCGACTCGATGGCAAATAACAACAACAACAACAATGAAGTTGCCCATGCCGGATCTAATAAAAAGTTCAAATGGGTTGATACAAATAGGGAATGCTCCCATGCTTACCAGATTAACCTACCTTTTCATTGGCTAAATGTAGGAGACAGGCAAAAGCCAGAGGTATGGAGAGGTTCTGAGCCATGAGGGGAGGCAGGCTGTGAAGCAAAGGGCAAGCATGACACTCAGTCACTGCAATGCTAACAACAAAGCCTCTTTCATCAAGCATGAATACACATGTACAATGAGTAAACTAACAAACAATGAAACATTTCAGGTGCATGTTTTTCTGGTTTCTTATTTGGAATTCAAAATTCTCTTGTTTCATTCCAGTGACCAGAGTGAAAAATGTCTTTTTAAAGTAACCAGATTGCCCTCTATTGATTTATTTATCAGTTCAGAAAAGAAATAGAAAAATTGCTGAAAGTGTTACATAAAACTGACCACACAGCAGGTCGTGTGGGAAGGGGCCCATCAAATAGCTCAGGCCAGAGCACTCTTAGTCAGAGCTGAGAGACAGATAGCGAGAGAGCGAGCATGAGCCCCCTGCGATGCCGGCACTCACCTCTTCTTCAGATCCTTTGCGAGCCCACTGAATAATTTCTCATCAGCCACCTCCACCAGGCCCTCTTCGTTTTCCATTTCACTATGGTTTGCCTAACAGAAGAAAAGCGTTTACAGACATTTAGGGCCAATTCATTTTTGAGAAAGAACAATGTACAAACTTGTATCTCTAAAAAGAAAAGTCTATATTGAATGAAAGTCGGACATGTTCTTACCTTTTGAAGAAAAGGGAACTATATACAGGGAAGCAGTACCTCAGCCCTGGATTATGACACTGACATTTACCTATTTATGGCAAACATGGATGGCAATGACCAGTAAAATCCCAAAAAACAAACTCACTGCCATCAAGTTGATTCTGACTCATAGCAACCCCACTGGGTTTCCAAGGCTGTAAATCTTTACAGAAGCACATTGCCCTATCTTCCTTCCATGGAGCAGCTGGTGGGTTTGAACTGCTGACCTTTTGGTTAGCAGCAGATACCTTATCCATTACGCCACAAGAACTTCTTAGTAAAATCCCAGTGAAGGGGAAATTGCAAAGAGGCTTCTAGAATCCTTGGGGAAATAACAAAATAACAATAGAAGTCATGATTGTTTATAGCTTCAATTGGAATCCACAGCTAAGGGCAGTACAAAATGCTTATTTAAAAACAGAGTCAAGCTTTCCACTTAACAAAAATAACCTGCTGCCTCTTTGCTGGAAGGCAAGTATTTATGAAAGAATATGATGTCTGGGATTTATATTAAAATAACTCAGAACATGTACATGGAGAGGCAAAGGGAACAGAGCTAGGTGATAGTATAGATAAAACATTGCTAATGACTGGAAATGGGGGTTCACTATACTCTTCTCTCTACTTTTGTACATGTTTGAATATTTTCATAAGGTTTTTATTTTCCCCTTAAAGAATAAACTTTTTTTTTGGTCTTTTTTAAATTTTATTTTTAATTTTTATTGTGATTTGGGTGAAAGTGTACAGAGTAAATTCATTTTCCATACAGGAGTTCATACATATTTGTTTCATAACAGTGACTGCAACTCTTCCCACTTCCTCCCTGTGGACACCTCTTCCGGGTATCCTTCTTTCCTTTGCTTTCCTGCCCCCTAGGCTATCTCCCTGTGTAAACACTGCCCTTCTGTTCTCCAACTATTGATCACGCCGAGTGTATCTAGCTGATGTAAATGTTCACCCTACATGTCTGTTTAGGAGCTCTGGTAGCATAGTGGCTAAAGCACTTGACTGCTAACCAGAAGGCTGGTGGTTCAAACCCACCAGCCACTCCTTGGAAGGAAGGTTGGGCAATCCTACTTCTGTAGTGATACTGCTTCAGAAACCCAAGGAGGGGTCGCTATGAGTCGGGGCCGACTCGACAGCACATAACAACAACACATGTCTGTTTATTGTTAGGCTGGAAGCCATGGGAGTCAGTTCAATTCTAAACCTGAAGGGTAACTAGGGGCCATAGTCTTGGGGGTCCCACCAGGCTCTATCAGACTGGTAAGCTTGGTCTTTTTTATGATTTTGTTCCACATTGTTCTCTAACTCTAACCAGGACCTTCTGTACTGATCCATTTCCGAGTGGCTGACAGTAGTAGTAGTCAGGTGCCATCTAGTTCTGGTTTCTTGGTCACATAGGCTGAGGATCACATGGTCTACTAGTCCCTTGGACTACTTGTTTTTATGCATCTTGGGTTTTCTTTGCTCTTCTTTGCTCTGGACAAGGAGAGACCCATTGTTGCATATAAATGGCTGTTGGCAAGCTTTTAAGACCCCAGTTGCTACTCACCAAAGTAGGCTGTAGAATGTTTTTGTGTAGTATGTTATGCCAATTGAGCTTAATGTCCCCTGCAACCATGGCCCTGAGCCTACAGGTCTAACTACTCACTCCCTCAGGGTGGTTGGCTGTGGCTAAGAAGTTATCATATCTTTGCCCCTTGTTGGCTCTATTATGTATTTCGACATTAAAGAATTGTTCTGGTTACCTAGTGCCACTCTGACAAGAATATACCACAAATGGGATGGCCTAAACAAACAAGAGTTTATTTTCTTACAGTTTGGAGGCTTTAAGTCCAAGTTCAAAGTGCCAGACTCTAGGGGCCGGGTGAAAGGCCCTCAACCTTGGGGTCCAGTTCTGCCTCCTGCTCCCTGCCCACTGGAGCTAGAAGGCATTTCTTCACTCAGACAGCTGCTGGCTGCGGAGGCTGACAAGCCCAAGGTTGACAAGTAAAAAGGCACAGTCCTGATGTTACCAAACCACATGGCAGGCCTTTAATTTAAGCCCAATGCAACTCCCAAGGTCAGCAGAGCATGGCAGGCTGCTGAACAATGACACGGCTACATGCAGGGTCTGAGGGTGCCATAAGCTAGAGACTATCCACAAGGCTTCTCCTTATATACAGGAAGCAGACAACATCCCAAAGGCAGCTACTCAGTTGTTTGTGGTAGAGCCCACCATGGAGCTGATTGCCAGTCTCATCATGTGGTATAACTACTACCAGCTGCCCAGCCACTCAACCAGGCCCAGCCAAATTGATATACAAACTTAACTACCACAAGAATAAACTTTTAATTAACCAGAATTCCTGGGAAGGAGGGTATCCTGAGTGACTTAAAGGTTAAGCAGAACTCTCTCCCACTTTTTAAAAAGCTTAACATTTGTATCCCATTCTGTTTTAGTTGATAAAAACTCTGAATATGACTGAAGCTTATCTGATATCCTGTGTGCAGCTCAAGGTCCTCCACTGAATCATGAATCTCACTTCTCAGTCAGCAGAAGCTACAAGAGAGTGAGTTAAGCTTGGCTAAGTCAAACCATTCCCTGAGCAGAAGGGTATCGGAAAGGAGATGGAAAGGTTCTCATTAATTCAGAGTTCTACTTGGACTTGTTAATCAAAGTAATCTCTTTTCCTAAAGGAGAAATAGACAATCTGATTTAAAAAAAAAAAAAAGTTACTTTCTTACTTAGAATACATTCTCCAAATCAGATTGGATCAAAGATTAAAACATCTTAAGGGCACTTGAGATATAGTTATAATTTACTTTCCCAAAGGGTCATGTATAAACTTCAGTTTCGCTCAGCAGTGAGTAAGTAATTTTTCTCAACCTCAGTACTGAAAAACATAACTTAATTGCTAAAACTAGTGTTATTTTATATCAACACAGAGATGCCTTCATTTGTTTTTTATTACCAGCAAGGCTGAGTAATTTTCCATTGTACCACCTTTTGTGTGACCTGCCTGTTCATATAGTTGGCTCATTTATCTTTTAGAGGCTTGATGTCTTCCTTATAGTTTTCAATGACTACCTAGAGCCACTGACCAAATCAAGGTATCCTAAGACTCTTAGAAATCGGCCCTCCTGTGGTCACATGATGCGGCTTCTGGAGACGAGTGGTCAGCCCCGTACCTCTGCGTCTGCTTGCTTCTTTGAGAGCTCTGTAAGTAAACTCCACATGCTTTGCTTCAGCTTCTTCATGTCCATCTTTTTGGCAGTCCTGGCATACTGAATTTCAATCTTATTTACCTGAAACAGGCATATGATAAAGTGAAATTAAGCAGAAGAAAAACACATTTACATATTAGACCACATCAATTCATTATAAAAACAAAAGTCTGGAGTTCAAATAAAGAAGGAATCCAGTTTAAGCAAGGAGTTATAGAGCTCTCTTTGAATATGCTAGGATAGAATCTCTCATCTCAAATCTAATTTCTTTTGGATCAAGTGCCAATCTTCATTAAGGCTAACCCAGAATTCCAGTGTAAAAGAGGTAAGTGAATCAGATTTATATGAAGGCATCAAGCCTGTCATGTCACCTAGTATGGAACAGACAGATACTTCCTGCATGCTGATTTAATACAAATTGAATCTGGCTAAGAGTTTCCAAAGTCAAATAGCCACCCTTTCCCAATCAGTATAAACTCATTTTCTCTGCCTAAAGACTTCATATACATACTTTACTTGTGATGGGTTCAGCCCTAGTCATACGGCTTATCAAAGTCTTTGGAGAGATGGGTCAGTTCCACAGAAACCTAATTAGCTCCATTTCACTCCCTACAGCCCCAGTTAAGACTCAGGTGCTAGGAGAGCCACTGGTTAAACTTGGCAAGGAAAAAAAAAAAAATCAAGCCGAGACTGAAATGACTCTCATGAGGTAAAATAAACAGATCTTAACTGAACGATATAACTCTTGGCTGCTCGATCCTTACCTTCTGAGGCTCAGCTATCAGATTTGATTCCCCATAGGTCATGATGTCCAATCCTTGGATTTCGGGAGCATCATTGTTCTCTTGCATTGTCTTAGGTGGATGGCAAGGATAAGGTGTAAGGTCAAAGGCCCCAGCTGGTCCCACAAATAGGTCATCTGACTCTTCATAATCACTGTCAACAGCCTGGGCAAGGAAACAGCTCTTAAAAGTTTGGCAGACACTATCAAGAGGGGCTTAGAATGTCCTTTATACAGCGGGAAGAGCATCTTGATAGTTTGTGAAGTGAATCAAGCCTAGGATGGACTTCTAGATGCCTCTAGTTATCTCCTAAATAAACTCAACTAGGGTGGTATCTATTATCTACCTTAAGATCTCTAGAGAGGGAGTTAAAAGGATTTCATAATCCTAACTGCCATAGTGTTCCTAGTGTTCCCTCTGGCTTTTGAGTAATTTAGGAGTTCATTTTACAAAAAGCATTCCTGAAAAATCATAGAGATGAACCACTGAATCAGTTCCTTGGTCAATCACATCCCTCAATGAGAGCACAGAAGCCCAGGGGTCGTCCCGATGGTGTTCCTCAAAGTGTAGCCCACAGATCAGCAGTATGGCCATTACCAGAGAACCTGTGAGAAAGTCACATTCCTGGGCCCCACCTCAGACTGAGTAACCAGAATCTCAGGGGGTGGGGCCCAGAAATCTATTTTTAATAGGCTCCCCAGGTGATTCTAATTTTTAATAATAATAAATTAATATTTATAACACAGTTATGAGTAACTAAATAATTATTTTAACTATTATTTGTTAACTTTTCCTAGGCTTCCCAGGGGCACACTAAAGTTGAAGAAGCATTGGTAAAAAGGGCAGTCGGGATTTTCACTAAAATATAACAGCCTGACTTTCCACCAAGTAAGAAAATAAGGTGAGTAACTATTCTTCTAGTTCTTTTCCCTCTTCCCATGTGAAGGGACACAGACAAGGCCTACTATCTCCCCCTTGCTGTTACTTACATTTGCTACCCCATTACCAGACTCATGGGTAGCAAGATTATTGAGTCCAATCCCCTGTGGGATAAGGAATGGTTGGTATAAGTTTGTAATGTGAGAACCAAAATGAGAGCTAGAAGCCTGGTCTCTGACAGATCCATTCCATAGATCACTTTCTCCACATTACAACATACCACTGTCACCAAAATACTAGCTTCTAAGAACAGGAAGTGTTTTATATGCTTCTGAAATCCCAAAGAGACAAGGTAAGTGCTTTTTATAGGTTAGGGTGACTGATTTACTGGAGTATAACAATTCACTTCTTGCATGTAAGGCTTGAGGTAAGGCAGGTTAGGGCTGAGGCCTTTACTTCAGTTCTGCTCAGTTCCCTGATGCCCGAGGCAGGGCAGACCCTGTACCCATAAAACTATTGCCTGATTCATAATGTCCTACATCCTTCAGCCATACAGGGAAACGGAGAGAGGGGAAGCAGGAAAGCAAGACTCATCTTCTTTCATCTTAGAAGAGAGGACAGAGTTCTTCTCCTCTTTTACCTGTAACCCAGGGCAAAAGTTGGAGGTGTCATTAGGATTATTGTAATCATAGTCTTCAATTTCTTCATATTGCTCAGTTCCTGTCTTCCGGTCCTGGGGCGTCTTAAGTAACTAGGATGAAAGAAAGAGTAAGTTCAGAAAGCAATTTCTAGAAAAGCAGCTATTGAACTAGATTGAGTAAATAGATCTTAGTTTCTATGATCAAGCTCTTCCTAGAATTATAGAAATTTAGAGTTAGAAAGATCCTCACAAGTCATCTAGTCCAATCAACTTTTCAACTGCATAACTCCCTTCTGAGCAAGTCCAAAGCAGCAGGGCTCAGAACCTCAACACAGAACCAGAGCAGCTCCTTTTCTGACTAGTTTGCAATAAGGGCTTCTACATACAACTTCATTTGAAAAATGGTTCCTGTATTAAAAACAAGGAGCTCTGGTGGTGCAGTGCTTAAGCACTTGGCTGCTATTTGATAGGTCAGTGGTTCTAACCTACCAGCTACTCCAAGAGAGAAGGATGTGGCTGTTTGCTTCCATAAAGACTTTGTAGCCTTGGAAATCCCATGGGACAATTCTACTCTGTCTTATAGAGTTGCTGTGAGTCATAATCGACTCAATGGCAGTGAGTTTTATTAAAACAAAACAAAACCTGGAAATCCTTGTCAGCAGCTTTCTGAAAGGAAGTCAACTTGTTGCTTGAACAATTTTAATAGAAAACTCATTCCCTTAATTTAAAGCAAGCTAGGTGGTAACCACTGTTCCCTACATGGCTAAAAGGAGAAACATCTAGCTCTTCTCCCTATGACATCCATAGGTCCTTTGTCTGCCTTCCACAGAACAAATCTGCTTCCTTTTTTGGGAATGCCTGTTGACTATACATTGTCAAATATCTGCAGGCCCTTAGACCAGTGATTTTTACTTGTGGTGTGTGACTTTGGGATGGGGGAAGAGAAGTTGGTGGTTTGTTTACAAAAGCCTATTAAGTGTGTTAGTGCTGTTGTTAGGTGCTAGCAAGTCGGCTCCGACTCATAGCGACCCTATATGCAACAGAACAAAACACTGCAGAGTCCTGCACCAGCCTCAGAATCCTTGCTATATCCTTGAGTGTGTTAACAACTTTATTCTTTGAAGAACCACCCTCCCCATAAAAATCCTCACAATGTTTATGTAAATACAAATCCCAAAAGAATATTAAATAAATATTTATTTAATTAAGAAATGCATATTTTCTTCCACTGTTCCTCATATGACATGATTTCTAAATATCTCTCCACATAGAACACTCTCCTCTAGGCACACTCCAAATTGTCCACACTCTACAAACAATATTTTCTGGAAGGGTACAAGGAAGCCCCTCACGAATCACCTGGCTGAATCATTCTTCAGGATATTAAACTAAACAGGTGGTTGGTCTGTATAGTACCTAGCCAAGTTGCCAGTGTTTAATAGTCATTTTCCTGGTATAGCTCTGCTGGTAGGATGACAGATTTCTGGCTCCTGAAGCCCGGCTGCCCTACTACACGCAGAGATAGTCACTTCTATGGATTATCAAAAGCAATGGGGGGGGGGGGAGAGGCAACAAAAACAGCTCTTGTAGTGTGATGACTTTCTTCTACCACCTTCACATGGGACTATACAGATTACAAGCTATGCCACATTACTGAAATGCTCATAAGGGCTTAAAAGAAATTGGTGGTTCTGTGGTAGAATTCCAAGTGCGTTCCAGTCCCACTCAACGAACCTCACAGCCAGCCACCATATGTCAGTGGAGGACTGCGTGTTGCTCTGATGCTGAACAGGTTTTAGCAGAGCTTCCACAGTAAGACAGACCAGGAAGAAAGGCCTGATGATCTACTTCTAAAAATCAGCCAATGAAAACCCCACAGATCACAATGATCTGATTATAACCAATCATGGGGATGGCGCAGGGCTGGGCAGCAGTTCATTCCATTGGGCCACTGACTCAAGGGCAGCTAACAACAACAATAAGGGCTGGAAGGAGGGAGGGCAGCATGTGGTCAGAGAAAATAGCTCAAGCATGTAATAGCATATGGCTTCAGTCCTAAATTGGGCAAGGCTCCAAGCCCCTGAGGGGCTTAGTACAATGTTCTATCATCTTCCTTCAGCCTAACTCTGCTATTCTGTCTCAGGGCCCTATCTGTACTTTAATGAGAGAAAGTTGCTACTAAGATTAACCAGTATTGACCATAACCACAGTTTCCACTATTATTGCAACTTTGCATCTCTCTCTCTATATTTTTAAGATGCTTTTTGTTAAGTAAATGCTATTGATCAGGAAGAAAAATTTATCAGGCTTGGTTTATAAAAATAGAATGTGAGAAATCAGTAAATTCAGGGGAATGTGTGGAAACAGAATAAGGAAGAGGAAACTGGAATGTCTATATTCTCGACACTGCAAGAGTAGGACAAGCCAAGAATGCAAGTGAGCAGAGGGTCCAAATAAAATAGGACTTGGCACGAACCACAGCCTGGTTACCCTGGCACTTGCTACAAGCAAATGAAATAAATAGTAATTACAATGGAGTACTGGGTGGTCTAGAGTACTCCATCTTAACAGTACTAGAAAGAGTCTAGGAAGGGGTTGTACAACACTAGGGAACTTCCTGAGAATCAGTCACAGTTGCCTGCTTTGCCCGTAATCACCCTCCTTGTCATTGTGGGTGTGTTTCCATACTATGAAGATGAATGAGGAAATGTGGGTTGTATAAAGTATCGAACTAGTAACTCCACAATTTCGATGAAAAAGTGAGAGAATCCAGAAATAATTTTAAAACTTTAAAAACCTGCTTACATTTCAACATGTGGGCATCAACATCCAGTATTTTAACCAGTTAAGGTATTTCTAAATCTTTAATGTACATCTATCCTATAAGCATCTTCCTACAGCTTTGCCTTACCCATTTAATCTCCTGGTAATTTCCCTTAACTAAAACACATCCTCCTTACACTCTCTCCTTTCCCTCAAAGGCCCTGGCTGGCAATCATACATGATACTTCTTATGCTATAAACAGGAGTCCTGGTGGCTCAATGGTTAAGTGCTCAGCTGCTAACTGAAAGAACACAAGTTTGAACCCACCCAGTGGATCTATGGAAGAAAACACCCGGTAATCTGCTCCTGTAAAGATTGTTGTTGTTGTTATGTACCCTCAAGTCGGACCCAATCATAGCGACCCCTCCTTGGGTTTCCAAGGCAGTATCACTACAGAAGCAGATTGCCCCATCTTCCTTCCGAGGAGTAGCTGGTGGGTTTGAACTGTCAACCTTCTGGTTAGCAGTCAAGTGCCTTAGGCACTACGCTACCAGAGCTCCTCTGTAAAGATTGTTGTTGTTGTTGTTGTTAAGTGCCGTTGAGTCGTTTCTGACTCATAGTGACCCAATGCACAGCAGAACAAAACACTGCCCGATCCCGCGCCAGCCCCACAATCCCTGCTATACTTGAGCCCATCATCGTAGCCACCTTTACACATCTGTAAAGATTATAACCTACCAAATACCATGGGGCAGTTCCACTTTGTCCACCAATAGGGTCATTATGAGTTAGAAATCGATTTGAGGCCATACAACAACATGCTATAAAAAGGTTTGGCAACAATAACAGCTTACAGAAAGAGCAGCCTTACCCTGATGCCTGGTTTGAGATACAGCTGGACAAGATTATCAACCTCATAGTGGAAATCTGTAGGAAGAGTGGTGGCTCTGTAATTCTGGTTCTCCAAAGTGGACTTGGTCAGAACAGTAGCAGCCTATTAACAAAAGAAAAAGTGATTTTGAGGCATGTTTCACAAAAATGGTCAAAACTTCCTTTTTAAGGAAATTGGGAAGAGTTTGGGCAGTACTAGTTTACCTGGGAGCTCTGATAGCGCAGTGCCTAAAGCACTTGACTGCTAACCAGAAGGCTGGCAGTTCAAACCCACCCGCAGAAGGAAGGTTGGGCAATCTACTTCTGTAGTGATACCAACCTCGGAAACCCAAGGAGGGGTCACTATGAGTCGGGTCTGATTCTATAGCATACAACAACAGTCTACCTGGGTGATAAAAATGGTTACCACATTTGGTTGCTACCTGAAAGACTGGAAGTTCAATTCTAACCAGAAGCACCTCTGAAGAAAGGCCTGGTAGAAAAACTAGCCACTGAAAACCCTACAGAGCACAGCTCTAGTCTGACATATATGGGGTCATCAAGAGTTGGAAGTTTCTTGACAACAACTAGCACAATCTCCCATCAGAGTTCCTATAAAAAAAATGATTGTGTTAGACATTATTCCCCTAATGATAAACCTGATTCTTTCTGCAACTGAGTTTGGAACTATTTCTCAATCCTTTAAGGAACTGAGGAAGAACGAAGCCATTAGTCTACTCTAGGAGTTAAATTTATAATGATTTTTAAAAATCAAATCTGAAAGAGGAAGAGGAATGCAAAGAGCAATTTAAGAAAGCACAAATGCTAATAAATGCAGCACAAACCTTTGTTATTCGAAAATACACTTCAAAGTCAATATCATCTTCAAAGTCAATTTCAAAATCTTTCTTTGTACTCTTCTTTTTGTTCTCTGATTGCGAGGAAGTTTCTTCTGCACAAATGAACACAGATGTCAAGACTCTGTGGCCTAAATTATTTATTCATCTCACAAAACCTACTGATAGCCTTATCAACCACAAGACAGCGTTTGGGCCTGAGATAACAGCTTAAGAAAGGTAAATTATATATGTCCTAGACTTATACTTTGTTTTTGCTAACAAAACACAATAAAAATGGTATGCTAATTAATAATTAAGGAGCTCTGGTAGCATAGTGCCTAAGGCACTTGACTGCTAACCAGAAGGCTGGTGGTTCAAATCCACCAGCCACTCCTTGGAAGGAAGATGAGGCAATCTACTTCCGTAGTGATACTGACTTGGAAACCCAAGGAGGGGTTGCTATGAGTCGGGTCTGACTCAACGGCACATAACAACAACAACAGCGGGAAATAGTTCAAGGACATAACCCCACTTCTTTTGCTTCCAGGTACTTATACTTCTCACTGAGAGGACTCCATCTTAACTGACCCTTCATCCCAAGCCAGGCCAACTGACTGCCCAACCAGGAGGCTGCCTCATCTGGATACTCCTTCAGCTTATCAGATGGTGCAACAGTGTGGCAGCTGGCATTCCCTTCCTTGGCTGAACTGTTGACTGGCTGGTCATCTACACTATCTCTTTTCTTAAAGTTCCATTTAGAAGTACATACGTTTGTGTCGAGGTCTAAAGTGCCAATGGTCCGGGCCAGCCCACATGGACATGGTACGGGGACTGAAATAGGAATATTCTCCAGGTTTCATGGATAGAAGGGGGCACATCGTTCTAATGTCTCCATCTCCAAGGGGAATGATATCTTCCCTGTAACACACATGAAATTGGAATATATATACATATATGAAGCTTATGATATAGTTGAAGACCACTTCTCCAAAAATAAGCAGCATATCTAAGCATAAATACTTTACTACTCATAATAATCCCTTATTCTTCACTTTCAAAGTGCTTTTGTTTCTCTTGTATTAATTTTATGATAATACGATCGTGTCTATACAAGTATTGCCATCAAGTTGACTCTGATGCAAAGTGACCCCCATAGGATTTCCAAGGTGGTAAACCTTTACAAAAGTAGATTGCCTTAACTTCCTCCCACAGAGCAACTGGTGCATTTGAACCAATAACCTTCTAGCAGTCAAATGCCTTACCCACTACACCACCAGAGCTCGTTATAGTAAAGGGGTGGGGGGTGGGGGGACAGGGACTTCAATGACCTATAGTGATTATATAAACTTCTTCACCTGATGAGAAAAGCGAGGCCCAGAGAGGGGCAGTGATTGGCTCAGAGTCAGAAGCTGAGTTGAGACTAGAACCACAGTCATTTGCTTTGAGCCCAGTGCTGGTTCCACCACACAATACCACACTATTGGTTATGTATAGGGGAAGAGAAATCACATTTAACATTGTGGGAATCAGCACGTGTGTCTGTTTTGTTTTGTTTTGTTTTTTTTAAAAAAAAAAAGGGAGGAGTTCCTGCAAGATGGAGGACTAGGCAGAAGGATTGCACAGACTCTCTTCAACAAAGAAAAGGGAAACCAATTAACACAGACACAGAAGATAATCCTGGAACCCTGAGCCTTGAAGGGAAGGATACAGAA